GGCCTACGCCGCCGAATAAACGTTCAAGATCCTCTCGGAAAGGCATATATGCGTTTGCGCGTCATAAACAAATGGGTGCGATCATACCAGCACTAATGCACCGGATCCCATCAGAACTCCGCAGTTAAGCGTGCTTGGGCGAGAGTAGTACTAGGATGGGTGACCTCCCGGGAAGTCCTCGTGTTGCACCCCTTTTTTTGTTAATTTTTTTCTGTATTTCTATCTGAAACTTCCAAAATGCGTAGCTGGAAGACCGTGAGGCCGTATGCTGCCACCAACCACTTTTCGTGAAGCTCCAAAAGAGCTCTAGGCGTAAAATATCGTTTGGACCCCAAAAAATGGCGTTTGGACGCTTTTCCGGGCCGTTTTCTGGTGCGGACACAAAATCAATGAATCGAAAGTGCTATGCATAGTGTTTTTTGGATGCATCCATCCTCCCTCTCACATAAGGGTCACTTAGGACTCCGGATCGGGCCTAAGCATCAAGTGGGGCCTACGCCGCCGAATAAACGTTCAAGATCCTCTCGGAAAGGCATATATGCGTTTGCGCGTCATCAACAAATGGGTGCGATCATACCAGCACTAATGCACCGGATCCCATCAGAACTCCGCAGTTAAGCGTGCTTGGGCGAGAGTAGTACTAGGATGGGTGACCTCCCGGGAAGTCCTCGTGTTGCACCCCTTTTTTTGTTAATTTTTTTCTGTATTTCTATCTGAAACTTCCAAAATGCGTAGCTGGAAGACCGTGAGGCCGTATGCTGCCACCAACCACTTTTCGTGAAGCTCCAAAAGAGCTCTAGGCGTAAAATATCGTTTGGACCCCAAAAAATGGCGTTTGGACGCTTTTCCGGGCCGTTTTCTGGTGCGGACAAAATCAATGAATCGAAAGTGCTATGCATAGTGTTTTTTGGATGCATCCATCCTCCCTCTCACATAAGGGTCACTTAGGACTCCGGATCGGGCCTAAGCATCAAGTGGGGCCTACGCCGCCGAATAAACGTTCAAGATCCTCTCGGAAAGGCATATATGCGTTTGCGCGTCATAAACAAACGGGTGCGATCATACCAGCACTAATGCACCGGATCCCATCAGAACTCCGCAGTTAAGCGTGCTTGGGCGAGAGTAGTACTAGGATGGGTGACCTCCCGGGAAGTCCTCGTGTTGCACCCCTTTTTTTGTTAATTTTTTTCTGTATTTCTATCTGAAACTTCCAAAATGCGTAGCTGGAAGACCGTGAGGCCGTATGCTGCCACCAACCACTTTTCGTGAAGCTCCAAAAGAGCTCTAGGCGTAAAATATCGTTTGGACCCCAAAAAATGGCGTTTGGACGCTTTTCCGGGCCGTTTTCTGGTGCGGACACAATAATGAATCGAAAGTGCTATGCATAGTGTTTTTTGGATGCATCCATCCTCCCTCTCACATAAGGGTCACTTAGGACTCCGGATCGGGCCTAAGCATCAAGTGGGGCCTACGCCGCCGAATAAACGTTCAAGATCCTCTCGGAAAGGCATATATGCGTTTGCGCGTCATAAACAAATGGGTGCGATCATACCAGCACTAATGCACCGGATCCCATCAGAACTCCGCAGTAAGCGTGCTTGGGCGAGAGTAGTACTAGGATGGGTGACCTCCCGGGAAGTCCTCGTGTTGCACCCCTTTTTTTGTTAATTTTTTTCTGTATTTCTATCTGAAACTTCCAAAATGCGTAGCTGGAAGACCGTGAGGCCGTATGCTGCCACCAACCACTTTTCGTGAAGCTCCAAAAGAGCTCTAGGCGTAAAATATCGTTTGGACCCCAAAAAATGGCGTTTGGACGCTTTTCCGGGCCGTTTTCTGGTGCGGACACATATAATAAAATATAGAAAATATAAAAAATAGATAATAAAGACTAATCTAAAAAAAAAAAAAAAGTTTTTTAAGAATAAAGTAGAGAAAGTATCCCTTTTCGATTAGGAGAGATGGCTGAGTGGACTAAAGCGTTGGATTGCTAATCCATTGTACGAGTTAATCGTACCGAGGGTTCGAATCCCTCTCTTTCCCTTTCTCCTTTTGATGATGTGTAATAGATAAAATCCTAATAAAATTCGAACATTTCCACTAATTAAATAAAGCAATAAAACAATAAAAAACCTTTCTTTTTTATTCTTCGCGTCCCGGATTACGTCCTGGATCATTAGATAGGAATCCAAATATGAAGAGAGAAATAAAGAATATAACTACAGTGTATACAAAAAGTTTGAGAGTAAGCATTACACAATCTCCAAGATCTTACTTTTTTTTTTTTTTTTCAAAAAAAAAGAGAATAGATTCTCTATTTTTATACCAAATATCTTATTTTGATACCAATAAATCAAGTGATTTATTTTTTTCTAGAAAAAAATAAAAAAAAAAAAGGGGGGTTCAGAAAGTCATTTGTGATAATAGTCGAGTCTTTCATATTCAAACAGATTTGCATACCAACATCTAGATCTTTTTTTGGTGAACTCGAATCTAATTAGATTCTTTCATTTAGGGAAAAGAGGATAAAATTGAAGAAATAGAATGATCCAGGTTTGAATTCAGGGTTCGTTCATACGTCAAGATTTTTTTGAGCTATTGTTGGAAGAATAAAAATTGTGAATTTTTCTAAGACAGTATTAATAATTTCATCGAAAACTTACAGCTGCTTGCCAAACAAAGGCTAAGAGAAGAAAGAAAAGAGGTATTACGGGCATAACATCTACGATTGGATTCAAAAAGGCGTAGGCCTCCGGCAATTTGGCAACTAAAAAAGTGCTTGAAAAAAGGGCAGAATTCAAACAAATACAGATCAAATTAAATATATTAAGCATAAAAAAATTTGGTGTTCTTGTGGATAATTTCATTTTGATTGAGTTATTAATATATTTTTTATATAAGGAAAAAAATAAAGAAAGATAGTCTAAAAAGACTTTGTTGAACTTACTCAATCAAAAATTCTTTCATTCTCTTATGAGAATGAAAGAAATAATATTTTCATACAATATCTTAATTGAATTCTATGTAATGATCAATAAAGTAAGTTTGATTTGCTATCTACACGCGTAAAAACTCTAGCACCAATGTAATCTATATTTAATTCGGGCTGAAATTGAATTGACGAACAACCAATAGCAATATTACTCTTTTAGTAGTCTTGAATAAAAATCGAAATGGGGCGTAGCCAAGCGGTAAGGCAACGGGTTTTGGTCCCGCTATTCGGAGGTTCGAATCCTTCCGTCCCAGAGTACGGTCATTACGGAATCAATCTTCTATTGCCTTTGTACACCACCTTTCTCTTTCTATTTAAAAATCCAATTTTTTTTAAGAATAAACTATTGAAACGAAACGAAGAATCCACTTATTTTTCATTAATTCAAAAAAATAGATTTGCTTTTTTATTTTTGTGTGATGCGGGTAAGTAAGGTATAACCGTAGATTCTAAGTGGTAGAAAACAATGTGCGACTTGAATTGAAGGACATTATTTGCTGTGGATTTTTTGATCCGCCACTTTTTATATAGGAATATAGGTGCTCTTGGCTCGACATTTTGTGTTCTATTTTATTTACTAGAGTACAGGATGGAGCTGGAGGAAAATAGAAAGTTTTTTCCTTTCGCAGGAGTAAGGATCTAGGGTTAGTGCGAATCAATTAAGTTGGAACAGCTTCGTAAGTCTTTTTATTTTTATATTGAAAAAAAAAAAAAAAGCCCTTCAAGTAATTTTACAATGGAAAAGGGGGAAAAGAAAATTTTCTTCAAATTGTCAAATTCTTTGAATCAAACGTCTATCATGCGTGAATCAAGCGTTTGTATGATTTTTTGATAGAAAGAAAAGAAATCATACAAAAAAATAAGGGGCTTTGTTGCTGCCCTTTTTTAATAAAACGATTCAAGATCGCCGAAGTCATGTCTAAACCCAAAGATTCAAAGTAAGGATAAAGAATCCTTAAACAAGGAAATCTGGTTTTCAATTGTTTGAACAATAGAGACTACTCAATAAAAAGAGTACTTCAGCATTCTTGGTTGAGATATTTGAGAGTTATTTAACTTGAGTTACGAGAGTACGAATGTTACGAATCCTTTTTATGGAAAAAAATATTTAAGGTTTTTATTAATCTATTTAATATTTGAATTTTATACAGAAAGCTAACTTCTACTCATTTCATTTTTTCTCGAGCCGTACGAGGCCAAAGCCTCTTAATACGTTTCTAGGGAGGGGTATTATTCATATACATCTATCCCAATGAGCCGTTTATCGAATCGTTGCAATTGATGTTCGATCCCGAAGAGAAGGAAGAGATCTTTGGAAAGTGGGTTTTTATGATCCGATAACTAATCAAACTTATTTAAATCTTCCTGCTATTCTCGATTTCCTAAAAAAAGGCGCTCAAGCAACAAGAACAGTTCATGATATTTCAAAAAAGGAACGGGTTTTTACGGAATTAAGTCTTAATAAAAACGAAATTGAATTAATGAAATATAAAAAAGAGGGTGTGAAAGATTCGTATATAGCTTGAGCTTGGTATCAAATTTTATCTACTCTTTTGTTTTCTCCTCTTTTGCTTCCATGATATTTTTCTATTTATTAGAATTTCGATTTATTAAGAGTATTCTTCATTAAGGTACGAATACTAAAAAATACCCTGCCAAGAACTACTATGTTTTATAATCATAAACAAATTTATTAAAAGAATTTTGGATCTATAGAAATTCAAATGGTAATGTATGGATAAATAAAAAAAATACTGTAACTGTATATAAATATAAAATAATATATTAATTAAGAAAAAAAAATATATATATATATTAAAAGTGGTTTAGGAAAGGACTTTTGAATCGGATGCGCTCGCCCAGCGAGAAAGGCCCTGACCCTGCCGACCAAGAAAAAAAGAGAACGAAAGGCGTTCCTCGAACTTCGTATTTTCCTAATTTGAGAAGAGGTACAAAGTGACTCGACTGTAAGGTCCACCAGGATAAGTCTCGACTGAAAGGAGAGGAATGGTTAACCTTGAATGCTATTAATAAATTCTACAGCAATAGTCCCTCGGACTCGGAAAGTTATAACGAAAATGGCTAACCCAATAGCGGATTCCGCAGCTGCCACCGTTGGAACCAATGAAGCAAATACTTGACCCATCATATCATCTGAAGAAACGGAAAATACCAAAAAGTTCGAATTCACAGCTAATAACATTGATTCAATTGGCATTGACATAATAAGAATATTTCGTCTATTAAGGAGGATTCCCCGAATACCTAAAATAGAAATAATCATAGAAAATGTGAAATATTTGATAGGATCCATTTCGGGAACGTGGAATCTAAGAGAAATTCAAATGTTATTAGATGACAAGCTCGACCGAACACCTGAAGTCCTTGATATTTAGGTTAGGGAGACACGCGCGCATTCCTGACAACAGGCACGGGCGATATCCAGGCAAGCTTCCCCGCAAGCCTCACAACAGACACGTCCCACCTGTCCGACCGTAGGCCCCACTGCTGCGGCAAGGCGCGGCAGGACCCTGCGAAGAAGAGCTTCCCGTCGGTTCAGGCACCATTTTTTTGAATAGGTGGGACTTCGGTGATAGGTTTTTTTTGATCCCATGAGGGATCTAGCGATTTCCCCCGTTCCCCCCCCAAGAGGAGATTGGTTAGGAACGGGATGGGCAACTTCAGCCGGTGCTGGCGCCTGCGTAAGCGGCTCTTGAGCCGCTAAAGAGAACCAATAGACACGACAGCTGGGCCAGCACCTGAAGTGGATTTACTAAATCCCCCTTATCTATTTCTGGGTAAATAAGTTGGTGACTAACAACAAAGAAAAAAAAACTTGCTACCAAGAAGACGATGGATAAGAGAAAAATTAGGGTCTTTTCTCCTTCCGGGTTGACTTGAGAAAAAAAAAAGGAATAATTCACACCGACTAAGATCAAAGAAACTAGCAGACTAATCACTAAAAAGGCCTTTGGTTCAAATTGTGACATCTATCTTAACTTAACTTACTCAATTATCTCGTGAACTATCTGCTTCAAAAAGAGAGTTGGTTGAATGAGACTGAAACCTTCTTTCTTAGAGGAGGGCACCACTTCGACTGATGCGGGCGCGGTTCCCTCGTCGTGAAATAAGTAATGAAAGGGAAGACCCGCCCCCGGTCAACTTTCTTGTTGCCTGTATAGCTTTTTAGAACAGAGATCTAGCAACGCATTCTAGGCACAGATCATTGGTATTGGATGTATCGTTAGGTTGTGTCGAGTCAAATCTGCTCCGTTTTTTTTCCGTTGCAGAAAAGAGATCCCTTCCCTCCGCTTTATAAAATGAGGAATATTCAGTCCGTGGGGCTGCAGGTACTATGGATCCTCTGACTCCCAATCGGGTTGCCTTCCCTGGTCTCGCCGGTCTTACCTGTAGGTCGTGATGTGCCTTAGCGTAAAAATGGGAATATTCAGTCCGTGGGGCTGCAGGTACTATGGATCCTCTGACTCCCAATCGGGTTGCCTTCCCTGGTCTCGCCGGTCTTACCTGTAGGTCGTGATGTGCCTTGAGATGGCCGTCTCCTGTCCCCCTGCCGGTGGGGAATCTGCTCCCGGGTTGTCGCTCTGCTGCGTCTGGCCCGTCCTCTAGGCACCTTTGGAAGGCAGGGAGTGTGACAACGTACACGCTTCCCTTTACCCCATAGGGCCTTCTTTCTCATCAGTTGCAGGGTTTGGTGGCCCGAAAGAAACTTGGCTTCGCCAAAAGGCCTCATCTCTGGAAGCCCGGCTCGCGAGGCGTCCCTCTCGCTGTAGGGTTCCAAAACTCGCCTCGCTCTTGGGACATGCTATCTTTCCCCTCTTTATTCTCAAGTAAAGGGTGAGTCCCATGCGTCAGTTTGTGGATCGCGGTCTCACGCACTAATCCCTACAGGCGGGTGCCCGTAGTAGGCCGGCCGCCCTACCTAAACCAATCATCATATCGGTCCCTAAGCCCCATTGCTGGAAAGGCTCGGCTTCAAAACCGTACGTGGGGCTTCCGCCTCATACGGCTTCTCTAAGGATGGAGGTAGGCCCAGCCCAGGCTTGCGCGGTTAAGGTTGTTGTACACTTGCCAGCCAATAAGAAAACATTCCGCTTTCTGTTCCTTCACACAAGCTGACTCTTCCTACTCCTCCTTTCCGAAAAGATCATCCTTGGTCCTTTTGACATCAGATTCTCGGCCCGCTTTCTCCCCATTAACCAATTACGTTACGACCACTGAACAAACTCACACCATCTCAATCACTTCGATAATGCTTGAGAAAGCATCTTACCGAATCATAGATGATATGATTTCTATAACCTTCCTCTTTTACTAGCTGAAAAGATTGCAACAAATTCTTATGGACCTTATGGAGTATTTCCATACTCGCCGGGTCCGCGGTATCTGGCAATCCGGTACCCCGTATAAGGTCCGTGCTTACCTTGATCAAAAACGCGGGCGTTTCGATACAAGGGAAAGCACCGGGGAATTCCTTTATTAGAGCCTCCTTATGGGTTGCCAGATATTTATCCACCTCTTCCACAATAAAATTCCTTATTAAATCTTCTTTCTTCTTCCTTTTGTCCCTTCTTTTGTTATTGTTATTGGAAGAAGAAGAAGAAGAAGAATGAAGAAGCGATTGTGGAAGAATGGACCATCAAGTGAATCCCGGCTAAGGGGAAATGCCATAAAGCGCGAACCAAGATCCATAATACGAAAACCAAAACCAGAATGAGGAATAAATTTAGAGTTAGCCAAATGAACAGACCGATCTCATCCACTTCAAAATTCGCATAAAAGTTCCTAATTCTACTTTCGAATAGATTCGTTAGTTCCCCAGCTCTGGGAGATAATTCCATCATTCCATTTTTGAATTCAGAGGCAAGGAGGAATACCGCTTTAGAAAAGGTTTGGAAAGAAAAGTAGACGGAACGACACCTGTGAACTCGGATAGCATTGTGGCATACCTTTTGATCTGAACTAGGCTACTTTCTTTCTTCTCTTATGAAATTGATAGTTTCATATCATTCTTCAAAGAAGCTCTCTCTTATATACGATACCACTAGATGTGCCCCCTCCACCCTCGTCCAATCTTCCTAAGTACCAGCTACGCTTCATAGGAAGCTGAACAATACGTCCAGCTCTTTAAGGAATGAATACTTGGGCTTGGACCATCAACGGGCGAAGCAGGTTTCCTGTTTGCATCACTTTTTCTCCGGTATTTTGGAAACTCGATCTTGAAATCATTCAATTCGAAATAGCTTATATAACGAGAAATTGGAATTCGATTGAAAACTCTCTCAATTCAATTGGAAGATAACATAGTAGCTTTCGCCCCAAAAAGCTTCGCCTAGAGTGGATCAGGTCCTTTTAGGCGATCCCGCGAAGCAGGTCACCTCATAAAAGTAAACTTCTTTTTCTTTTTGAGCAGATGTTGCTTGCAAATCAAAAGATAATAAGTGTTTTCTTATTACCCGTTTTTTAAAGAGAAAAGATAGTCTAGAATTAGCTCTTAGATATCCCAAGGAAGCTTTTAGGTCAAAATAGATATGATGATATCAGACAGCAGTGAACCCCCTTTTCTTCCCTGTCCACAGCATTCAAACCCTGAACAAAGGCGAGTGACCAGCCACTAATGAGGGAAGAGCTTTCTTCTGTTAAAGACAAGAAGAGGTTTTCGGATGGCTGAAATTTCGTAACGAAAGAAGTCACTCCAGAATCATTTCAATCCAGTGTACAAAAGTCGGACAGAAACCGAAAGACGATAAGACCCGAAGTTGGCTCCGGTGATCTGCTTAATGAATTGAAGGGTGGAACCAAGGAAGACAACTGAATAACCTGAAAATGAGTCCTTCAGGCCACCAGCAAGTTTAGGATTACGTTTTGTCTGAGTTGTTTTTGGGTGGGACGCACTCAGTGGTTTTCCAACCCGACAGGACAGTCTTCCCACGCGCCCAAATCAAAGAGAATATAGCCTCCAAGGATGGCTCCTTCCAAGCCCACCTCCTGGTTGTCATCGTCCTTTTTCCAGTTTGCGCCAGGAGCCTCCATCTCAACCGACAGCCTGGCAGACTGCAAAATCATTGCACTTCCTTCTCACGATGGATGGAACCAGGAGAGCTAGGCACGGGAAGGGAAGCTAGGCTCACTCCCGACAATTATATACCTGCATTCCAGACAATGGTCCAACCCTTTGATATTCCTAAGGTAACAGAGTACATAGGTGAGAAAGGAGCGCTTTTCTAAGCTCAGCAAGACCGAATGGAATTCAAGTATATGGCACTCTAACTACGAAAGGAATGCCAACAAGAAAGCTAATAGGGATAGGACTACTAGCTGCTAGTATAGAAACCGAAAAGAGCTCCTAATAGCATCGGTTGCCGCTCTATCTATTCTGTTAGTTCCATAGCCGCGCTTCCTACTAGTCGGATAAGAACAACTAACTGCCTAGCTACAAGAAGAGAGCTACGAGGAAAGAAGAGCTACCAGCTAGCAGCTAAGATAGGAACTCTAAACTAGCTACTAGAGAAAGTCAAGCTACTAACAGAGCTCAAAACGGATAAGAAATCGGAAGAGACAGACGCAAGGAAGATCAGAGGCGTTCCTCAGTGCTATTGCCCTCTCGTCCTAGCAGCCGATCACTCACTAATAGCTACTACCAGGAGGAGAGGAATTCTGAAACCTAGTACTGACTCTCGTCTGGAATGGGAGGAAGTACTGCCGTTATGCGCTATTCTGTGAATCCGAAGGTCCAGAATTCCCAGCTTGGATATGAAGGCATGGGGGGGATCCGGAGTATCTTAGTCAAATAGAGGGCTCTCACGGTGGCCTAGTCCACGGCTTTAGCCTTAAGCTAGGTTGGGCTCTAGTTCTTGTATTGGGCGAACCAAAGTCTTCAATAGCGCCGTGGCGTGCAGGGAGTAGTCTCTTCTTTCCTGGTAGGCGCGACTATGTGAGTTGACAAGAAAAGACTGCGGTATGTATGAGTCAATATTTTCCTTACCTTTGGAGCAATTAGAATTACTGCAGACTGCTTTCCTCCCATCCCGCTGATTCGGATTTCCTACCATTGAAGGAATCAAACTGCTATTCCCACACACGCTGTAAACTCCTGTCCTACCTGATCCATTTCAAATCCTGCCCCAACCTCTAATCTCTTTCAGTCGGCGACCATTACTCTGACCTCTCCTACTGGGCGCTTCGGCCCATCCTCTGGCTGCAACCATATTGTAGGATTGGTGCAACTATTGATTTCGACCCCTATTCAGATCAAGGTCATGGCAACCATAAGTTAGACCATTGGGCCCAACTATGTTGTACAAGCCAAGGACGCATTCCCTTATCGATGTCAACCGTACACCGAAGCAATTAAGTAAGCTTGGCTTTGGCATTACGCTTTGGGATGGGAACTAGGTTGGAATTCAAAGAAAACACATGCGAAAGGCAGCGTGATGACAGTGGATCTTTGGCTGACTTACTAATTGTGGGCACGGAACGAAAATAGAGAAGTGAAGCAAATAACTTAAGACCGCCATTGTGATAGTAGCTACCATCTTTTTTTCTAGGGTCTCCTTCTGGTTGAAAGCTGCAACTAGAGTATAGGGGGACATAAGCAAGAGCTAGTGGATCACGGCTACCTAGCATCATGGCTACCAGCACCAACAGCATCCGTAATTCCAATAGCTGTTGCGGATCGCGATGCAGTACCTGTTCAATAGCTCACGCCCGGGTTGATATCCGTAACACATCTCATATCCAACTCTTCAAGTGCAAGTGATCCCGCGTGCGCTAGCTAATTGACCCAACATTGAAAAAGGTCCTTTCAGTCGAGTCACGTCAGTGCCTAAAGGTCAGTTTGAAACTCTGAGACTGCAGCTCCAGCAGAATCCTTCCTTGGTTCAGATTCCTTCCCCGCCTTGGGATGAGTACCAATCCCCGCATCGTTTTAGCTTTTGTTTGATGATGTCAGGTGGAGTTGTCTCCATGAGTTGGAGTTGCTCGGCAGGGGCGCTCGTCCTTACAAAATGATCCGCGCGAAGGGAAAGAGAAGAAGCTTCCGGCAGCTGAGAGAGAGAAATTTTACAGTTCAAGGCTTTCAAAGAGTCAAGCTCGGATAGTAGATTAACTGGTGGCAAGAATCCGACCAACAGACTAATCTGGGTATTCCAAAAGATGCTTGACCAGTCGAAGAGGAGGGGCTTCTTTCCACAACTGAAAGAGAATCTGAAACAGGATCGGGAACATAATCTGGAGAAGATTTAGGATCACTGGAACTGAGTATCAAGGTGATTCCCAGAACTTTAAGTACGAGACTAATAGTTCCATTCTATAAGCCATTGCTGAAAACCCTATCATCGAGTTCCCGCTACGCGCCTTTGAGTCAGCGCCCAACCTTTCACTCTACGAAACCCAACTCATAATAGGCAGGACAGGAGATGACTACGTTAATGCGAGTTAGGCTCCTCGATTGCATTCTCAATTGAGAAAACGCATACCTCCACAATCCCAAACAAAGGAAAGGGAAGGTAGGGTATAGGTCTGGAGCTACTGCATATCCGACAGGGTCACCGGGGTGTATGGGGCGTAGCTCGATAAGACAATCTCAAAGGCTCAATTGGAGCTATACTTAATACTTATCTTGAAGCTAAACCGGAATTATTCAGTGCAACCAAAAGCAAACCAAGAATAGGAAAATTAGTGATAAATTATTAGGCAGAGCCATCCTTCCCTGGGCACTAGGGAGTCCTAAAAGTATGAGTCCATACATTTGCTAGCTAATACTAAATCGTCAAAGACCTGATTCTATTTCTTAATACCGTACGTCTCTATCCTAAGGGATGGGAACTCCAAGCTGTTTAGCTTTTGCCATAAAAAGAGCCTTAATCTCCTTCTCGGGCGGGCCATAACACTTTCTTTCCCTCAGCTAAACACCATATAAAGAGTCACTCCTCTAGGTAGGTAAGCGACTGGAAGAGTCGTTTGAAGGCTTTCAGCAGAAGGTCTGATAAAGAAGTATGTATGACCATCAATGTCTGCATGTTCCCCTCATCCCCCTATCATAACAAGGCAAAGCGTTAGTGCCTTTCCGGCTAGTCGTTCCAACAGGAATGCTTAAGATAACGAACCTTGACCAACTTGTTCCAAAAAAGAGGTCAGCCGAGGAACGCCTGAAAGCTTTGAGTGGACCGGGTAGCGTCAATCAGAGTGAATGAAAGGTCAAGGGAACAAGCAACGGATTGAACAACGTTAGCGAAAGCCGTTGCGCTAACGCGCATCCGTTTTCTTGCTCGTCTTCCTTGATCTTTGAATATGGAAGGAAGGCTAGAATCTTCTTTCCGCTTTAAAATCTTCCTATTTCGATGAGAATCAAAAAGATCAAAGCCTGCAGGGTCAGAATAATGGAATTAGACTAGTTAAGTTCAGTTAGCAATTCAATCAGCCTTAGCTAATAAAGCGAATATCCTTCCGCTTCAACCCAATCTTACTCGAAGAACTAGTTATGTTTGCCGGAAGTACGGTCAGTGTGAGGGGTGGCACTGTACCTGTGCTTTTCAGTATTCAATAAGCCAGGAAGGAAGTGTGCATTCAGCTGTGCTTCTAAGAAAGCTTGGCTTGTGGTTGTGGATCGAACTATGACTCCAAATAGACTCGGGGTTGGGAAAGGCCGTTGATATTCGTAGATCGTGAGTTCATTCCCTTGCTTTTGGGCGATGATTCGATTCTTCTGGGCTTGCTTGTGGCCACTTAAGAAAGAGTTCTGCCTTCTAGCCAAGCCTTTGAGTTTGAGACCAAGTAAAGCTTCCCGGCAGTCAACCAAGAAAGACTCTTTCTCCCCTACTGAAGAAATGGAAGTCAGATCTTTTTCCATACCATAACGTATATAGAATCGATTTTATTTTCTGATCGCTAGCCTGCCGGGCCGCCCCATCAAACTATCAATCTCATAAGAGAAGAGATCTCTATGCCCCCTTTTTCTTGGTTTTCTCCCATGCTTTTGTTGGTCAACAACCAACC